CCAGCCTACATATTCCCCGGAGCATTCATATTTAACTTTTAGCCAAAACGTAGTGTGGCACATCACTGCCACAACTGCAGCATCTGTTAGGATTCCTATAAAGTTCTGCCCCTCCCCAGAATGCAAACAAACAGTGCAATGCAGAAGGGAGGTCTGTGTCACATCCCTTAGGCCTGCCCAGCTCTCCCCCCCCACCACCACTTGGGAATACAGTGGTACCTCGGGTTAAGAACTTAATTCGTTCTGGAGGTCCGTTCTTAACCTGAAACTGTTCTTATCCTGAAGCACTACTTTAGCTAATGGGGCCTCCCACTGCCGCAGCGCTGCCGGAGCACGATTTCTGTTCTCATCCTGAAGCAAAGTTCTTAACCCGAGGTACTATTTCTGGGTTAGCAGAGCCTGTAACCTGAAGCGTCTGTAACCTGAAGCATATGTAACCTGAGGTACCACTGTACTTTTTTAATGTCTGAAGCACAAGTAGCTTGCACCAGTCTGAACGGGAAGACTTGCTAGGGAAAGCAGCAAACAAAATCGAAAAACTATTATTCTGGAAAAGGTGCTGCAGTGATTAAAGGCCATTCCAGCATCTGTGGCGGAAGGTATGGTTTAGCATGCGGTAGCAAGAACAATTGAGAATGTGGCAGCACCTACCAGATCTCGCTAAGTAACTGGAGCAAAACCCATTATGGACCGGATATAAGAAGTTGCTGGGCTCCAGCTTCCATCGTTCCTGATCATTGTCCATGCCAGCTGGCTTTGACGGAGTCCAACAACATCTATAAGGTCAGAGATTCCCATCCCTGTTTCACATACTTGCTACAAGAAGCAGCAGTGTAACAATGGTGTAAATCCAGAGAATACTCTTTTTTAAAAAAATGATATTTATTAAGGTTTCCAATAAAAAAACACATCAACAAAAAATTAAAAATAAAAAAGAAAAGTACACAATTCAAAAATACACAATACATAATCCCCCCCAAAAAAACAAAAAGCAAAAAAGAAAAAAGAAAACAGTTAAAAATAATACCACCTTTTCATCACCATTTTTAGATTTACATATTTTCTGGACCTCCTCATACCTCCCTCTTTTGTATTCTAGTTCAATTTGTTTGTCCAGCAGTTTCTTTCCCTCTTTTTTAATCCCAATCCTTAATCTTAATATAATATAACCTTAAATTTTTACCTCTTAAAAACCAAATTTCCATTTCCTTTAACTTTTTTTTTAATCCTAATCCTTAATCTTGATCTATATATAATTTGTAAATCCAGAGAATACTTTGCCACATGGAATGTACATCCAGGAAGAAACTATTCCTGTAAGAATATTTTTTAAATGATATGCATCAGGATTATGTTTCATTTAGCGCCTGAAGTGGAATCTATTTCTATTGTCACATAGCAGTATCAATCTAGCTTTTTCTTTTTCAGAAAAAGAGAGCACTGTGCTAACATTAGTTTAAGAAAAAACGGATGGGATGTTGGTTTGTGCTATTCACTCAAACCAAATTTTCTCATCAAAGAGACTAGGCTTGTTTACCATTTGCTACCATTAGAGATAAGGGACGTGGGTGGCGCTGTGGTCTAAACCACTGAGCCTCTTGGGCTTGCCGATCAGAAGGTTGGCAGTTCGAATCCGTGTGATGGGGTGAGCTCCTGTTGCTTGGTCCCTGCTCCTGCCAACCTAGCAGTTTGAAAGCACGCCAGTGTGAGTAGATAAATAGGCACCACTCTGGCTGGAAGGTAAACGGCATTTCCGTGCGCTGCTCTGGTTCTCCAGAAGCGGCTTAGTCATGCTGGCCACATGACCCGGAAAAACTGTCTGTGGATAAACGTCGGCTCCCTCGGCCTGTAAAGCGAAATGAGCGCCGCAACCCCAGAGTTGTCTGCGCCTGGACTTAACTGTCAGGGGCCCTTTGCCTTTACCTTTTTTTACCATTAGAGATGGTTAAACAGGAAGATCCCCTGAGAAAGCCTTACAGCACTGCAGTGTTGGCACAATTTTTTTGCAGTCTAGAATGAAATTTATTCAGACTTTTAGGGTTTCTGCTGCTTTTTCCAGCACGTTGCCATACATCTGGGTTTTCCCTGACATTATGCCTATTTGGCAAAATTGCCCCCTTTTACACCCGAAAACCAGGACATGTCAGGAATTTTCCTGAAGTATGGCAAGCCTATCTCAGGCCAGCCTACTTCTCAGGATTCCTGCAATGCTATGCATGTATATTAGAATAACCTATGAACGTAAATTTGCTTTTTCTTCTTTCTTTTTTCTGTATTTTCTTCTTTTCTTTTTTCTCAATTGTTTCTTCTTTAATTTTCTTTTTGTAGTATGAGATTGTAAATTCTTTGTAAATTCTTTGTATAAGTGTGTAATTTAAATTAATAAAGATTATTTAAATTTTCCAAAAAAGAAAAAAGAAAGAAAGAATAACCTCAGGCACATCGCCCTGAGCTTCCAAGTGGAGAATACAAACCATGCTAACAAATAAATATGATGTTTAGATAAGGTAGAATGTGCACATCACGTCAATGAAACAGCGTGTTAAGAAAGACGATGCTAAAAATTAGTAACGTAGATGAGGAAATGTGAACAAAATATTTGAGCTTAAAGAAGAAAAGCTACGGTATTTCTGTCCCTTTGCTCCAGCATTGTGCCCAGTACCAGCCTGAAAAAAAGAAAGCATGCATTTAAATAATAAAGGAAGACAAATGGATCCACTTTTCTCTCTTTTATCATGCGTCAACTGCATTTTCCACTACCAAAACAGCAGCCTATTGTTTTCCTTCAGGTTCATCATTTTTAAGTCACAAAAACATTAACGTTTATCTACCCCGTAGATCCTCCAGGCCGCTGGAGAGGCAGAATCCCAGAACACTATCAATTTCACACTCTTCTCACTTGCTAGTTTTTGTTTTTTTGTTTCACTGCTGCACACCAGTTGTCGCCTGCTCTTTGGGACTCAAATAAGGAACATTAAGCATGTTATACATCTGATCTGATAGGAAGGGGCAAAGAAATAATGTGCCTCACTAAAGGCTCCTGAGTAATCTCAGCAGTCATGGGAGAGTGCTGCTTGTGGATCATTAGCCCGTTCAGAAACAGAAAGCAGAAGAAATAAATGGACATATCTCATAATGGACTGGAGGGCTGCAGGAAGTCAAGGACCCCTCAAGGATCAGTACTGGGTGAGCTAGAATCATAGAATCATAGAGTTGGAACAGTCATCTAGTTCAAAGATTCTTTGCAATGCAGGAATCTCAACAAAAGCATACATGACAGATGGTGTGTGTGTGTTTTGAACTTGTTCATAAATGATCTAGAATGAGCACCGAGGCAACACCGTTTGCTGATGACATGAAATAGTTCAGGGTGGTTAAAACGAAAAGGCATCATGAAGAAGTCCAAAAAGTTCTTCCAAAAAGTATGGTGTAGTGGTTAAGAGCGGTAGACTCATAATCTGGTGAACCGGGTTCGCGTCTCCACTCCTCCACATGCAGCTGCTGGGTGACCTTGGGCCAGTCACACTTCTCTGAAGTCTCTCAGCCCCACTCACCTCACACAGTATTTGTTGTGGGGGAGGAAGGGAAAGGAGAATGTTAGCCGCTTTGAGACTCCTTCGGGTAGTGATAAAGCGGGATATCAAATCCAAACTCTTCTTCTTCTTCCCAAACTGGGTGAATGAACAGTAAAATGGCAAAAGCAATTCAATGCAAGCAAGTATAAAGCAACGCACATTGGGGCAACCCCCCCCATCCAATTAACATTAGGGATGGGAGAGGAATTTGATTCAGTTTGCATTTAAAGCAATTTTTTTCAAATTCACAGTTTCTGAAACAACATGAGAACTGAAACACATCCATCCTTTGAAATTTGCAGACCCAACTTTTGCAATACAGTTCTCCAACCAAGTTTAGAGAAATGCACATATTAGGGGGGAAATGTGTAAAAATGTATATATTAGTGAAAATAGCATACAAAAACGCATTATACTAGAAGCTGCAAAAATAGGTACATTAGTCAAAACAATAGACAAAAATGTGCTTATTGGGAGAAACTCACACTAAAATGATGAAGAATTTTCACGAGGGTTTTATTTTTTATTGCAAATTGCTGCAGAAACTGGATAACTGGATTCAAGATTACTGGATGTACATTATGAAAAAATAATAGCAACTGCTGATGGTATTATATAAAAAAAAGAGAAGTTATGCCAATCAGTTCAGTTCATAATACGGTTCACAGAATTCTCCCTTTCTGGACATGGAATGTTGACGTTCTGGGTACAGTGTTGTTTTTTAAGAAAGTTCAGAGGAGGATTATAAATGCAGAACTCATATACCATTTAGAGTTTCTAGGATTCTGGACTCCTGCTGGGAAACAAAAATGCATTTATTTTCTTTCCAGTTGCCCAGTTTAATCCACTTTTTTAAAATAAAAAATGGCTTGGAACCATTGGGATTGGGTTTTTGCAGTTACTAGGCTGGATCAGGTATTACAACACATCCAGTTTGGGGAGAAATGGTCCGAGCTGCCACCTGAGGGACCAGTATTTATTGAAATATTCCCAGTTTGCTGCATTTCGGCAGCACAAGTGAGGGACCCCAACTCACTGATTTAATACTATGCTTTCATTTGCATATTAGACTCTGGGAGCAAGTGCATCCCCTCCAAAATTTCTGCGGTGAAAATAGGGATGTGCTATTCAACAACAACTTTATTATTTATACCCCATCCACCTGCCTGGCTTGCCCCAGCCACTCTGGGAGGCTTCCAACATATATAAAAACTTAATAAAACATTAAGCATTTTTTTACATAAAAAACTTTACAGGGCTGCTTTCAGATGTCTTCTAAAGGTTGTATCTCCTTGGCTCGGGGGTCACATAACTCCACACCCTCCAACTTTTCTCCGATGAAAATAGGGACATCCTAAGGGAAATCAGGATATTCTGGGATCAATTCAGAAACTGGGATGGCTTCTGTAAATCCAGGACTGTCTTTGGAAAATAGGGACACTTGGTAAGTGATTCAAATACTGAATAAATAATAAACATGACTTGTCTGGTGTTACCTGAGGAGTGTGTGTGTGTGTGTGTGTGTGTGTGTGTGTGTGTGTTCAAGAGAAAGAGTGCTACCTTCCAGACTTACAATTCTTGTTCTGATAATCTTACGTGTAACAATGCCTGATTCTCAGTCCCTACACAGATACCAGAATGAAAAGCTATCTTGCCAGTAGCTAAACTAGGCTGCTATTTGCTTGCTGTTTCCTGAGAAATATTCCTCATTTTAAAGCAACGTTGCTCTTCTGCAGGGAATGAATAGTAGCAGAGGCCAGAGGGAAGAAAATGCATTTCTTTAATTCAGCAAACACTAGAAGAGACCCTGGGGTTTATATAGGAGGAACCGAGGAGGTGGTGCTTTCTGATCGCTCGGCTCTTTGCTAGCTTAAAGGGCCCTCGTTTCTCTGGAGCGTCACTTGGTAGAAACAGCTTTGACTGTTTCTGCAACCAATACCTATCCTTGCAAATGGAAAAGTTATCATGCCACTCCATGTAGAATAAGAAAACATCTAAGGGGAGAGAATTATTTCACAGATGAAGGGGAAAGGCAAACAGACAAAGGGAAACAATCAAAACCAAAGGCCAGGCATTAAATGAGATCAAGCAAAACAATCTCCAAGCCATCACTGATTTTCTTAAATATTGCCTTTTATTACCTTTTACTAACCACTTTGTCACAATGAAACACTCCATTATTTGAGAATACAAACAACAGATGAGCCGGCTGCTTTTATCACCAGGAGCAAGGATGGCCAAGAGGGAGAAGTATTTTAGCATCAAATACCCACAGGCTGAATAATAAGACGAGCGAGCTTTTACATGACAGCGACATGAAACATTAGATTCCAACTTCCTAATAAACTGTATGACACAGCTTAAAGAAATCTAATTTTATCTCAGCCTCCCACACAGTAAATCCTCCCACCACATTTCTTTGGTTCTGCCCTACTTCTTTGCTCTATAATTAGCTGCTTAAAAGGTTTTGGATCATGCTAATAATGGGCAATTTAGATATGCAGAAAATGAAGTGTTTTCTGGTCCTTTAAAGCTGCACAGCACAATTGTCATTAAAACAGAAACTAAGAAATTGTGAAGAGTTTCTTTGCAAGAGCAGTAAGGGCAGCTGTGGAATTTATAGGAAGATAACTGCATTTCCAGCTAGGCAACAAGAAAAGCGTTATCATTACTGAGGGTATGATACAATCTTAAACTATCCTGGATCTCAGTAGATTGGTCTAGAATAGCCTTCCCCAGCCTGGTACTCTTCAGATGTTTTGGACTACAGTCTAAGCCAGTATGGCTTTTGTTGTTGTTGTTTAGTCGCTTAGTCGTGTCTGACTCTTCGTGACCCCATGGACCAGAGCATGCCAGGCACTCCTGTCTTCCACTGCCTCCCGCAGTTTGGTCAAACTCATGCTGGTAGCTTCGAGAACACTGTCCAACCATCTTGTCCTCTGTCGTCCCCTTCTCCTTGTGCCCTCCATCTTTCCCAACATCAGGGACTTTTCCAGGGAGTCTTCTCTTCTCACGAGGTGGCCAAAGTAGTGGAACCTCAGCTTCAGGATCTGTCCTTCCAGTGAGCACTCAGGGCTGATTTCCTTCAGAATGGATAGGTTTGATCTTCTTGCAGTCCAAGTAGTGGAACCTCAGCTTCAGGATCTGTCCTTCCAGTGAGCACTCAGGGCTGATTTCCTTCAGAATGGATAGGTTTGATCTTCTTGCAGTCCATGGGACTCTCAAGAGTCTTCTCCAGCACCATAATTCAAAAGCATCAATTCTTCGGCGATCAGCCTTCTTTATGGTCCAGCTCTCACTTCCCCAGTATGGCTTAGGGAAGGCCCAAGACATTTTGCTTCCTGAGGCAAAATACAAGATGGCACCACATTCCAGACTGGCAGTCAAAACCACACTGCCAATGGGACAGCAACCCCTCCCCCCAGCAGGTAGGCTTAGGGGCTGCAGGGCAGCTCTGGCATCCCCACAACTTGCTGTTGCCGCCTGCCCATCCCTGAGCCGACCTCCTCCGTGTTTCCAATGGTGGGGTGTTAGCCCTGAGCATGGCCAACGATCAGGGACGATGGGAGTTGTTGTCCAAAACATCTGGAGTGAACCAGCTTGTGGAAGTATTAAGTACTTGTGTTCACCCACAGCTTTTGCCCACTTCTGTCACAACCTCAAAGCTAAGCATTAAGTGGAGGGTGGGGGTTTGCCATCTTTTTGATGGCCATTCTTAGGTGCAGCTGTTCTCCAGCAATTTACTTCTGGGCCAGGGTGCTGTTAAAGGCATAGGTGCACAACAAGAAATAGGTGCACAACATAGATGTATTAATGCATAATACATCTGGGTTTGTTGCTAAAGCATTATATATTGATATTACAGATGCTACCATGGTCACCCTCAGTTCTCTTCTGGAGAAATAGTCTGCCATGCTCCTCATTTTTGCAATTTGTAGGTTGCTTTCCTTGTGTGGACAGAATGTTTGAGGTTTATGGTGCCTTTTGTAATAAACAGCTTGAGGTCCTCAAATGCAGCAGTATCCTCTTGCAGGACCCTATGACTTATTCTTGTCATCTTCCTTTAAAATCTGTGCTGCTTTCGCTGGACAGATTTGAACTGCCAAACTGTTTTCTTTAGTCTACCTTTGGCCTGCCAGCTGGGATGTGATCTTGAGATGGAGAATTAAATTAGGGGGGGATTCCCAAGCAAAAGTGTTGTAGCACTGGGTAGCGTGAGTAAATGCATGTCTTTTTCTTTTCTTTTTTTTAAAAATGATATTTATTAAAATTTCAAAAACAAAAAATTACATAGTTAAAGAGAGAAGAAACAAGAAAAAATATATAAAAAAAGAGAAAAAAACATACAAAATACAAAGTACAGAAAGAAAAAAAAAGAAACACTTAAAAACAAATTAATCCTTCCGTATCTTACATTTCATTTCCTTGCTTCCCTGACCTCCTCTCACCTCCCTTTTTTGTATTCCAGTTCAATTGGTTAATTCAGCAATTCCTTTCCCTCTTTGTTTATATCTTAGTCCTTTAACTTAATATATTATAACTTTAGATTCTCACCTATTAACCATCCATTTTTACATACACCTTTATGACATTGCTACTAGAACCACTTAATTTCATTCTAACATCATTCTAACATTCATTAATTTTACAATATTTCTGTAAATAGTCTTTAAATTTCTTCCAATCTTCTTCCACCGACTCTTCTCCCTGGTCTCGGATCCTGCCAGTCATTTCCGCCAATTCCATGTAGTCCATCACCTTCATCTGCCATTCTTCCAAGGTGGGTAGATCTTGTGTCTTCCAATACTTTGCAATAAGTATTCTTGCTGCTGTTGTGGCATACATAAAGAAAGTTCTATCCTTCTTTAACACCAATTGGCCGACTATGCCCAGGAGAAAGGCCTCTGGTTTCTTCAAGAAGGTATATTTAAATACCTTTTTCAATTCATTATAGATCATCTCCCAGAAAGCCTTAATCCTTGGGCACGTCCACCAAAGGTGAAAGAATGTACCTTCAGTTTCTTTACATTTCCAACATTTATTATCGGGCAAATGATAGATTTTTGCAAGCTTGACTGGTGTCATGTACCACCTGTATATCATTTTCATAATATTCTCTCTTAAGGCATTGCATGCCGTAAACTTCATACCTGTGGTCCATAACTGTTCCCAGTCAGCCATCATTATGTTATGTCCAACGTCTTGTGCCCATTTAATCATAGCAGATTTCACCGTTTCATCCTGAGTATTCCATTTCAACAGCAAGTTATACATCTTTGACAAAGTCTCAGTTTTGGGTTCTAACAGTTCTGTTTCTAATTTTGATTTTTCCACCTGGAAGCCGATTTTCTTGTCCGAATTATATGCCTCCATTATCTGATAATAATGAAACCAATCTCACACTTTGTTTTTTAGTTTCTCAAAGCTCTGCAGGTTCAATCTGTCTCCCTCTTGTTCCAGAATTTCCCAATATTTCGGCCATTTGGCCTCCATATTGAGCTTTTTCAGTGCTTTCGCTTCCATCGGTGACAACCACCTTGGGGTTTTATTTTCCAATAAATCCTTATATCTTATCCAGACATTAAACAATGCTTTCCTGACAATATGATTCTTAAATGCTTTATGTGCTTTGACCTTGTCATACCACAAATATGCATGCCATCCAAATATATTATGAGTAAATGCATGTCTTGGTCACAAGGTAAAAATTTCTAGAAACCCTAAATGACTGCGCTGTAAAACAAATCTCTCCAGAATACTGGTTGGAAGGGGTTATTCAAAACCATCATAACAGGTAGAATGTATGTCACAGAGTACCAAGTTCCAGAAGATGCCAACATGGTTAATGAGTAGAGTCAAGAAAGCTATTAGAGACGAAAGCCTGCCTTCAATAAGTGAAAGTTTTGACCAAATGAGAACAAAAAGAAGTGGAACGCAGCCACTGGCAAAAAAAATATGCAGACGATAAGGGATGCAAAGAAGAAGAAATTGAGGAGCAGACTGCTGAAAACATTTAAATCAGCAATAAAAAATGTTTTAAGTACAGGTGGCAACCATTTTAGGCACGTCCAATTGATGCAGGATCACTGACGCGCAGATCCTTTTGGACCCAGAAAAGGTCGGAACAGGTGGAATGGGGAATGGAACAGGGGCAAGACAGACCAGAATGGGATGTAACAGGGCTCTGCCAATATATGCGGGGCCAGGTATTGAATCCCTGTGCAATATGGTTGTCACCTGTACATTAGTAGCCAAAGATCAGAGAGGGAGGCACTTCGACCTTTGGCTGACAAGGGATTCAAAGATGTGCTAAAGGAGGACCAGGAGATTTCAGGGAATCTGAAAGAGTTATTTGCATCCGTCTTCACAGTAGAAGACCTCGGGCAGATTCCTGCGCCTGAACTAACTTTCACAGGAAAGTAGCCTGAGGAACTGAGGCAAATAGGGGTGACAAAAAAAAAAAAAGAGTTCTTGGCCTTGTTGACAAATTAAAAATCAACAAATCATCGGAGCCAGATGGTATCCAGCCAAGAGTAAAATATTAGATGGCTTATCTTCTAACCGAAATATGTAACTTGTCATAATTGCCTTCTGTGCCTGAGAACTGGCCAATGCTGCGTTTTTTAAAAAGGGATTTAGGAAATTGCAGGCCACTTAGCTTAATGCCTGAGCAGGGGAAACTGATGAGAAACACACACACACCCTCTCTCATAAGGAAGAGTGCCTTGTATCCTCAGACTGCTAGCAAATATTTACCTTGGATAAATTTAAAAAGAGAAAATTAAAATTAAAAGCAGTTCAGTGTTTATGTAAGTGTTTATGTTAATTAGCTGGAGAAGTTAGTGTTTGTTGTTTTCTTACCATCTGAGCTATTTTAATCTTTGTAATTATCTGGAGTTTTCCACCCTTGTTGAGTTTTGTTTTAGTAAAGTCTGGGTATGATTTTATGAAATTTGGTCTGGACCCTTTAATTTTGACCATGCTTTTCGGACCAAGGGCCACCCACCGCATTTTCACATCCAGCACATTACATGGCAGCAAACTGGGATTTGTAACCGAGTCCACACAGGGAGTTGCACCTCACCCTGACTCCCTGATCAGTGTGTCTGTATAATACACTTTTCAAATGCATGATCGTCTCAGACATTATAAATTTCGATGTTCTGCTAAAAAACAAAACAAAAACCTTAAGCACAAACCTAAATAATGTAATGTGTGAAGTGGCCTTAAATCTCTTAAGATAAACAGCTTCATTTGCTGTAGTTGATGGGCAACAGCCTCATTGGACCCTCCAGAGATCCTTTTTATCATGAGTTCATGATGGCTTGTGCTCATTATGCTATTGGGGCAGTAACACATGATCCAGTTTTCAATACCATTTGTGCCTGCAAAAGTTTTGGGGTGATCACGCCGCTTCATTTCTAATCAGTGCATTTTCCATAGCTTTGTGGTGAAATCTCATTAGCCTCTTATACCACAAATGTTCTAGTTTGTTTTTGTCCTTCTTTCGTTGCACTATACAGTGGTACCTCGGGTTACAGACGCTTCAGGTTACAGACTCCGCTAACCCAGAAATAGTACCTGAGGTTAAGAACTTTGCTTCAGGATGAGAACAGAAATCGTGCGGTGGCAGTGGGAGGCCCCATTAGCTAAAGTGGTAACTCAGGTTAAGAACAGTTTCAGATTAAGAACGGCCCTCCAGAACGAATTAAGTTCTTAACCCGAGGTACCACTGTAACTCCTCCAGACATCAATAATGTAGTAGCATCAAGGAAGCATCACAGAGGAAGCCAAAGCAGAACAACTCTGCACTATTATTGTGTCAAGATCATATTGGGTGTTAAGTTCCCAAGACCTCCCCCAATAAATAAAGACACAATTGACACGGAATTTAGTTTAAGGTTATTGACATAATTTTGGCCACAACTTTATTGATTACAGATCATGAGTGGTTTGCTTAGGCATTGGTTCCCGAGTAGTTGCACCTGACCTCGACAGGGCAGCACTGACGTCTGGACTCCGGCAGAGGTCAGTAAGGGAAAACGTCCTGGGGGAGCATTGGACCAGGCTCAGACTCAAGCTCACCCCAAATGCTGCCAGGGACCCTGGCGTGGCCCTGACCCCTGGAAGGGGATCAGACAAAAGTAAGGCGAGCCCCTGGATTCCTTTAACAGAATACTCTTTCGCGCCTTGGAGGGGCAGGTGTGACAACCTCCCCTCCACCTTGAACCAATGCCTAGCTGCCAAACCTTACAAAGTTGTGACGATTTGCTACATGGCAAGCGAAACCCAAGTGGCACCAGCCAATCAGCCAAATGTGAAAATTCCTACCGGGCCCCTGTCCCAAAAGCCATGATGACACATGATGGCATAGCAAGGTCATAAAGGTAAAGGTAAAGGGACCCCTGACCATTAGGTCCCGTCGTGGCCGACTCTGGGGTTGCGGCACTCATCTTGCTTTATTGGCCAAGGGAGCTGGCGTACAGCTTCCGGGTCATGTGGCCAGCATGACTAAGCCGCTTCTGGTGAACCAGAGCAGCGCACGGAAATGCCGTTTACCTTCCCACCGGAGCAGTATCTATTTATCTACTTACACTTTGACGTGCTTTCGAACTGCTAGGTGGGCAGGAGCAGGGACCGAACTATGGGAGCTCACCCCGTCGCAGGGATTTGAACCGCCAACCTTCTGATCGGCATGTCCTAGGCTCTGTGGTTTAACCCACAGTGCCACCCGTGTCCCAGCAAGGTCATAATGGACCGTAAATATAGAGAGGGTGGGTGGGTGATTCGATGCATGAAGCAAAAAGAGGAAGCTCAATGCAATGTGCAGTGGTAGAAATGGGTCCCTTGGTTAATGCATGAAACGATCCCATTGGTCAGATTTACCCCAGCAACCGAGGGACCACCAATCGGGATGTTGTGGCTATCCAATCACTCCCACCTACAACAACAGTGAGGTGAGTCTTGATGATCTCACTGCAATGCGTGCCCTCTGGGAGGAGGACACAATTTGCGGAACACACCCGCAATAAATCACCAGTCTGAAGAAACCCAGTGGCATGGCCTGTGAATCAGTGGAGCAAACTCCTTCCCACAGTGTTAAGATTCAGCTTATTAAAAGCAAGCAGAGTTTGCTATGGGATCTGTAAATTTAGCTCCCCAAAAGATGGAGGCAAAAGGTAAAACCTCCATAGGGACTTAAAGTGTCTGGTGTGTTGAGGATCCAGCTGCGTCTTCTTGCCAATCTTCTCAGGTAGTCAAAATGAACTGGTAAACAATTTGTACACATGATTATCAAGGAGCGTATTTGCAATTCATTGGCTTGCGTTGGACCTTGAAAGATTGCACCATACTTAAAGTAAGGAGAAGATAGGGGATTTTTTTTGAGAAAAGGTCAGTTCTTTATTAAATCTATTTTTCAAGGTGAATGCAGCTGTATGGTGAATGCAGCTGCTATTTTTCAAGGTGAATGCAGCAGTTGTGCCTGAAAGCCTGTGGCCTCTTGGTACGTGTTGCAAATCAATTTTGTTCGGTCAAACTTAAACAATAAGCACCAAGCAGTTCTGTGATTTAGTCTTTGAAATCGCCGTGTACACATCACAATCTTGGGGGATAAGCTTAGCTGCATATTGAAAAGATAGCCTGATATATTGAGAATATTTACCATCACCAGCATCTTATGATCTGCCTCAAATACCTGCTTCTCCTTTGTTTAGTTTTCTTGAACTCACCTTCAAGACAGGTAGCATGATCCCTTAGAAATTTTGTAAAATAAAAGCTGGCGGTGCAATGAATTGACTGTCTGCCCAAATATTTTAAATGATTTAGGAAGGAATCATTGCATCCATTTAATGTAGAATGAACTGAAGACACAGGTTCATTCAAATGTTGAATTTGCCTCTACAGCCCAATCATATTCATATTCAAAAATAAGGTCTGTTGTGTTCAATGAAGCTTTGTCACACACAACCAAAACTGACACCGCCTATCACTGTAAAATTCCCTAGACTTAGATCTCCATTCACATCTCAAGCACCAACCTCCAAAGATAGAAGGAGCAGCTGGTAGAGGAAAGTGGGCTGCCTTCTAATGTTTTCTATGGGTTAAGCAAGTGTTATCTGTGCACATGTGCTGGACCTGGCAAGCCTCATGATCCAATGGATTGGATGCTTTCCCCATCTGTCAACCATGACCTCAACTGTCCATAGAGCATTAAAAGAGGCATTGTTTTAGAACTGTTTGATATGCTTTCTTTAGCTACTTCCTATTTCTCCCTCCTTATATATATTTTTTAAACTGGGCAATTTTGCCCCTTGCCAGCCTTCCACCAGTTCCTCCTAGATTCTCTCTACTCTGATGGTTGAATTGGGAATGGACTTGGGTGGAGCAGAGGGGCAGCTGAGGCTGGGGTCAGACTGCTGACTGGCTGCAAGTCTGGCAGGAAGGTGCGGGGAGAGAAACTTCCTACCTCTTGCAGGATCAAAGGCTCCCATAAGCAGAAGTTTCGATCCTGGGCAGCGCTGCTTGCTGGTTGTTGCCGCTCTGCTGCAGAAGATGCAATGTGCATGGAAACGCAAAGGCGCAGCAGCACCCAGCAAGATGGAAAGGCCCTGTGGGAGCAACACCCTTCCTGCTCTCAGTTCCTGCTCCTCGTGACCATATGTTCTTAGGACCCTTAGCCCCACACCCCAGTTGCTTTGAGGATGTATCCAGGACAGGTGGTCTCCAGGTCATCACAGTTTGCGGTCCAGGCCACGGAACAGATGGGGGAGCCTGTGCCCAGACCTAGCACAAGTCCAGTAGAAAACAACAGGTTGGCTGCCTCTTAAGGTGTGAAATAGGCAGGGAAAATGCCTTTGTGCATTTCATTGGCTGAGAAGTACTGTCAGTCTTGGCTGTTCAACAGGAAAACTCTTCTCAGTGTCTTCCTATTTGCTCTTTGGTTTTGCTTTCTTTCTTTTTTTTTGCAGGTCTGGCTAAGTGTCGGGCTCCATTGCTTCCTATCCCTATCATCAGTTCTGTTCCGTTAAAGTGGAACATTTTAATTGCTCTTTTTTTCTGAGACAGGGGGAGTCTAGTCTAAATATATCTCAAGAGTGTGTGGGGGGACATTTGACATAGCTACTATAATTAAGCATTCAACAAGAGCCAACAAATAAACTTTAAAAATAAACCGAATCCTTGACTGTGTTACTTTTTCTGTCAGGAAACATTTTGAGGCCTTGTTGGCTCCCTTCTTAACTTGCAGAGTGAACCTGAACAATTACGGCTCCTTCCCAGTTTTGAACAAAGATACTCATTTTTTTTAACGCTTTCCTGTATTAAGTAATGAAGCATTGCTTGTCTAAAGCCACTATTAACAGTTTAAGCACATATTAAATGCTGGAGAATGCCTTGTTTAAAAAAGTGGCTAAGTGCTGTTTTCTTTTGTTTCGTTTAGCTGCTGTCTTGTATTCAATACATTGACTTATGAAAGGTCTCAATGAACTATTTTACATAGCAAGGCTTCATCTCGTCACATCTTGACCTAATTTCATGTGGGTGACATGGAGGGAAAACTAGAGAAAGGGGGAATGGGAAAGAGAGAGAAAGGGCTGACAGATCTCAGATTTAAATACCACGTAGTAGCCCCATTGCTGAAATATATTTTGGGCTCCACATATCTTGCCCATAATCAATATTCTCACCTCTGGTGCCACTCAAATGGGTTTCCAGAACAGATGCCTACGTTGTTGGAAAGCCTTGACTTGTGACACTAATTGGAATTTTAAAGGAACTCATCACAGGGAGGAGAGAGACTACACAAAGAGGCATTGTTAAATAATTACACTGTTCCGTTGCATATTATGTAGCCAGCATAGTTCTTTTACACTTCCTGAAATATCTGAAATAGGGTGCTGCCAACCAACCATCTCTCTCTGAAAATTGCACACATTAAAATGCATTTCATTCTCACTGAAAATTCCATTAGAGCCAGACAAAGATATTTTACTGCCCTCAAAGGAGATGTAAGGCGCAACCCAAGTTATGCATCTCAGGGGTTCCCTGCAATGCTATAGAGTTTGCTGGTATGGAACAAATAAGTCTGCCTGGTCCTCTTTTGTGACGCTGCAAGGAATCCTGGGATGCAGACACACAACTACATTCAGGCACATCTGCATATCTGGCATACCTTAGGCTTCCTAGGCAAAAGCAATGATCGATGCCACAGCGCACAAAATGAACTGTCCAATTTACCCTTAAAATTGGGTTCCCTAACCCACCTGGGATCCTCTTTCGCAGCCTGGCAGGGAGTGTGTGTGTGGAGGGGTGCAGGCTTGCTCCATCCTGGCATGACCACACTGCCAAGGGAGGAGGCGTGGCCACGTTGGCAATGGGAGGAGGAACCTTCTCCCCGAGAGCCGATGGTTCATGCTTGGCTTCTGGGGAAACCAGGCCCACGAGTGGACTGGAGTGAAAACTGGCCTTCTTTTGGTCGTGGGCTATTTAAATGGGCCTGCCCTCTTTGTCCATGGTGTTTCTTGGGTTAATGAGTTGTCATTAAGTACCTTGTGGGGTATAGGATAGAAAAGATGTTGCAGACATAATGCTGAAAATGCCTCACTGAGACATACAATGTGGACCGTTCCAGTGATAGGTTTGGTCTGAAATTGTTGTCTGTATCCATTTCGTATTGGCAAAATCCTTGATGTTTACCAATACTCATTTACTTTTAAATTGTATTCCCATAGTATGGGGATTAATGGCAGGACAACACATATGGATTATGTTATGCCAGCATATATATCCTAGCTTTTGCCCACTATAAGATTTCTCTTGTTCTGTTACCGTTATCAAGAGAAGCTATTGGCACTCCATAGCCCATTAACCAGTTGATGAATTTATTAATCTGACTAAAGTATTCAGAAACCCAAGCAAGCCAAGGACACTTGAAAATATCAGAAACATCCATATCTGAAAAAGAATCAATCACAGGACACTGTCAGAAACAAGGAGTGTTGTTACCTAATCTATTTAAGTTTTCAGTCTGAATTCTACTTTGTCTTCAGGTTCTGAGTCAAGGAGAAAGCTATAATCCCAAACGGAAGTGGCCACCAGACGTCTCTCCATCCAATTAAAGCTGCTCGGCATCTTTAAGTTTCCTTCCGTTTCCTCCCTGTTGGATCCCTCCACTTCTTTGGAGGTCCTGCTGCCAAGATGTGTCCCTCTGGCTGCAACACAAGACACGAGGGTTCAGAAAAGCTCCCATGTCCTGTGTTGTAGCCGGAGGTCTCACAAGAGATCACAGAAATTGTCCGTGTGGATCTTGTCTTTTCTCAGGCAGTCAAATTCATTGTTTGCCAACCTACAAAAGGAGAGAAGTGCAGAAGTCAGCAGTTTGTGCCGACTGCGCTGATAATACTTTGTGCTGAGGCTTTTTGTTGACACCACTCTCTCAGAAACAATCCAATCAGCTTCCAAGCTGTGCAGTCTATGATTACAGGGCTGGCGTGGTGCAGGGGTTAAGAGCACAAGGTTGTGTTGCGATGCCATGGTTCAGATTTGAAGGAGACGAGCCTCACTCCCCATCCCAACTTTGCAATGTGGGAATAACCACCCCAACATTCCTTATAGGGTGATTACATGCAAAGCTTACTAAAATGTATGTGAAGGACTTTGAAATGTCCTCTGAGGGGTTGTAATAAGATTCATGTTGTCTCACAATATTCAACTGCTTAAAAAGAACAAAAACCGGCAAGACTGCTATTAGCTAAAAATTGGAAATCTCAAGAAATACCAACGGTAGAAGAATGACAGATGGAGATGTTGGAATTTTTGGAGCTGGCTGACCTGACTGGAAGAATCCGCGATCAGGAAGAAGAGGAACACCAAGAAGAGTGGAAGAAATTTAAAGATTATTTAATTAAATATTGTAATATAAGATAATTAGAAGGTACTTGAAAGTATCAAACAGGCCTAGGGTTAGAATAAGAATGTTGTATAGTAATATGGATTTAAGTCAATAAAAAAAGAGATGAAGATAGTAGATTGAAGGAGTTAATTGCAGTAGAAGGATGATTTTGGAGAACTGTTACAAGGTGATACAATAAACTCAGGGGGGATTCGAGGAAGTCAGTTAATAATGGAATTTAAAATGAACTTTAGAAGGAATATGTGTTTTTATTTTTGCTTTGTTTTTCTTTTAGTATTGTAATGTCTTTTCTTTTGTATGTTTTATATGTTATATCTGTTAAAATCAATAATTTTTGGGGGGGGAAATAAAAATAAAAAGAACAAAAACCCAGTTCATACAGCGTAACACTGGAAAAACAAATGCACACAGGAATTCTTCCATTCTGAGAATCAGAAAGTCCCACTTTGCAGTTTGCCATTTTGTGTAAGAGAAGCTGCAATCTGGCATGTGCTGCCTGTTCTGATGTTGCACTGGCCATGCGAGTACAGTATTCATGCGAGTGAATTCTGTGTAATATTGTTCGAATCGACTCTTGAGAGGCATAACTTGAAGTTGCTTCCATTTGCTACAGGTCTTCCACCTTGGAGCTGAAAGAAACCTTGCTTTCTCAGTGGTGATATTCCCCCCTTCATTTCTGACTGTCCATATTTTACGATGTTTATGAACTCGAAGAGGCTTTTGTGGCACAAAATGGTCACCAAATAGGATGAGTGGCAGCAAGGACATTTTTGGTATTGCCAAGTTCAGGGTCAATAACATTTCATTATTTTCTCCCCCCTCCCGCCACTCTTTCTGTAATGTTATATAGCCATTTATTTAGCAGACAAGGAATGACACTCATGAGAAGGGAGAGAGGGAGAGATTTGCCAAAGGCTTATGAATGAATGACTCACCTGGGGAAAGGGTCATGTCCAAGGCCCACGCTATATGCCTTATGTTATAGAATACAGAACTTTCCCTGGCATTTCTGGATAATGTAGCATTAAGCAAAGATGGAACAGAAAGACGGTCTTGCCTCTGATTCCTATACGGTGGAATATCCAATGGGAAGAGCAGCTTGATATTTCTCATTCGCAAATAACCAAGCCTTGAACTTAAAAATGTAGTTTTTGAGAGCTCACACGACAGAAAAAGCTGCAAACATACTGATTCTCTGTTAAATCCATCCAAAGGAAACACCCCACCATTTCAATTCAGAGGGCAAACTGGTACTAAAATATTCAGAGGTATTAGCAATTTCTTCGGAGCCCATTTATCTGCATATTTTTTTTTTGTGGGCTACAAGTCATTTCCAACAGAAGTGCATTAAGATGCAATACAATGGGGGGAGGGGAGAGTTAAATGCCAAACCAGCAAGTACATTGCTGTACATTACACTAAAGACCACCCATTTGAAAGCCAGACAAGATAACTGCTATTTCTCTGTCTCCCTTAACAATTTCTGTAGTAGATATAATTATTTTTTTGTCCCAGAATTTTGACGTAGTACCTCTATGTGGTCTCGTGGCTGGTTGATCTTACTTCTCCAAGTGCACACAAAGAACTGAGAAACAAAGAGTCCTTAATCACCATTTGGGTGAAGGTGACCTACTAAAACATCAATAATGATAACCAGCTATGCAAGCTGAGAGAATTTGACAAATTACATATGCAATTTACTCAAACACTTTAGCACAAAGAGGTGGTTTTTTTGTTTCTTTGGTGGGTTGTCTTTGTTTCTTATCTGCTTCAAATGTCTTTCATGTCTGTTAGCTTTGTTCACTCGCAGTGTTATCTTGTGCGGAATAAAGTCCATGGCAAGACAAGCACAGGGGACCTCACATCTGGAAACGGAACAATCTTGCAGATATCCTTCTCTGCTGAAGGCAATGCCTTTTGCTAATGACAAGTCCTGGTCCATAGCTGTCAACTTACAGATTTGAAAATAAGGAATCAGCAGCCAAAATAAGGGACCTGCAGCCTCACCTGTTCCATGCACTCCTGTCTTCCTGTCCTCCTGCAGTCTGGTCAAACTCATGCTGGTAGCTTCGAGAACACTGTCCAACCAACTTTGTAACCAGAGGTTCAACTAAATAGAATCTGAATCACATGCACCACAAGGCCTATGCAGCCTCAACTTAAGATGGCTCCCCGGCCTGGCTTTGCACTGCAAAGTTTGCAGCAGCACGTGCAACAAAATGGCGTCCAGCATTCAAAAAAACCCTCAGCTTGCATTAACTAGCCACACACACACAGCCTTCCCCCCTCGCCACGAGATCGCCAGTCACCCACCATTTTAGTCAACCAGCTCCTTTCTTTTCCCCCATAAGTCAATCAAAGGAGCCTCCAAAACAAATTCAAAAGCCCCCCCTCCCACGAGATCTCCTTTCCTTTTCCCTCACCATGTGCCCCCGCTCCAGACAGACCTTTTCGCCCGCAAGGGTGAGTGGGCCGTCGATGGCGTATCCATCCGATTCCGATCCGAGCACTCAGCACAGGTATGTTCAACTTCTGAGCCCCTCTGAGCCAAAGGCAGAAAGCCCAGCCAGCAGCCAAACGAAGCCTCAAGGAAAACCACCGTCACCTCTCCGCTGGGAAGCGCTGAGCAAAGGCGAGTCCCCAGGCAACGCAGCCGATTTGATCGGCACAAGGCATGCAAGCTCCACCCCCCAGTTGTTCTTAGACTTCTTATTGGGTGAGCAACACAGCCAAGCAACACAGTTGGAGCCTCCCTCCTCCCTGGCCGGCAGGGAGGGAGGGAGAGGAGCTGCTTCCTTTGAAATTTAAGGGACATCCATCAAAAATGGACAGCAGCGGGACATGGCGCTGGAATAAGGGACTGTCCCTCCAAATCAGGGACTCTTGACAGCTATGTCCTGGTCACTTGAACAGTTTGGCTCAAGGTTTTTCAGTTTGGCTCCAGGCTTACACCTCAAGTACCTTGGGATGGAGCCTGAGAACTAGGGAAAGGGGGGAGGGAATTGATAAAGCTTGGTGACACTCAATGATTGAAAAACAAAAGGAGATATGATATTACAGTATTCCTTTTAAGTGGTCCACAGCAAAGTGTTATTGTCAGCTCCCCTCAGTATTTTTCAGAATGTATCCTGCATCCTAAACACTCACAGGGAATAAAAAGAAACCAATATTGGAAAAGCATGCTGGGAAAGGGGCTGGAACTTCTGGCTTCCAAACCATAGAGACCCTGAAACAGGTCAATCCCAGAGATCCAGCAACCTTGCCTTTTGATCTGTATCTGCAATCCAAGGATCTCGACACCATTTCTCAAATCTTTCCGTAGACATAATAATGAAAAGTATGATGCATGCAGTTTCAGCTGAGCTTGAGTCTGGACTAGGATCCTGAGCCCTGTGTTTTGATTCGATACATGATATCCAATCACGTCGTATTGTCAGGGTTTGGGCTACTGGCATTGGCTCTGGGTTACGATTCGCAGCTGGGGGGGGTTTAGACAGCCAATCACGTTGAGAGTGGGAGTGGCCCAGGCCTTCAGAAATGTATATAAGCCATTGCTTTGCCCCTGTTTGACTGTTCTGTTCTGCTTGCCGCCAGGTCAATAAAGTTGTTTGCTGCGTCTCACCTTGTAGAAACCCACATACGCTTCAAAAAAGGATTCATTTGAAGAAGATTAGGCCTTTCTCCCTGTAGTCCTGTGCTCTCAACAGTCATAAGAAAGCTAAGGAATATTGGCTTCATAATGATTTGTATAAAACCATAACAGCTGCTTCTGCCTTACAAATTCCCAGGCTGGGCCTGTTGATGTGCTTAAGGAATAATCAATATACTAGAATCTTGCTTCCCTGAGTTACTTGGCTTCACAAATCAAGTTAAGAGTGTCAATTCAGTCTAATGCAGCAAACGCCGGCAAAGTTGAAAATGAAAGCATTATTTGTGAGGATCAAAATTCTAGGATTCGATGAAAATATTGTTCTGCATAATTTGCTTACTGTTGTGTCAGGGACTCAGGACCTCACTGCGTGGCCTGAGGCTGGGTCCTAGCACCAAACTGTATGTTATGTTAAATACTGTTTTCAAAAAAGCATACTGAAGGCAGCGCTGTTTAGGGAAGTTTTTAATATTTAATGCTGTAATGTATTTAACACTCGATTGGTAGCCGCCCAGAGTGGCTGGGGAAACTCATCCAGATGGGCGGGGTATAAATAATAAGTTGTTGTTGTTGTTGTTGTTACCATCACCTTTATTTTGAAGGAAAATTTGATCCACGTCGTGAAACGGTCCTTAACCTAGGATC